TGCGGTGTTATTGTCATATGCTTCGGAACGATTTCCACAATATATGGTGTAGCGGCATGACACAGGTTCTAATGAAAGCGCTTAAGTGTTAATGCATTTTGGTTTTCTTGTTCTCCTACCTCTTTGTATTTTCATTTTCACCCATACCTTTTTTTTGTCGTTCACTTGTTTGATGGGTTGACTGTTCGCGCGAGCAAATTCGGTTTCTTTGTGTTGTTTCACAGGGCATCAACGTGGCAGATTCTCGGTCAGTCCGGATGACAGATGGGACAGTGGGCAGGGATGTGAGTGTTATATGGATTATATTGTGCAATTGAGCATGAAAGAATAAATGAGAGGAATACAGTAGAAAAACGGTTGTTTGTGTTTCTCTGATGAGTGAACCAATGTTTTTTTCTTCATATTCCGCCCGGTGGTTCGNGTATTTTTATTTTCACCCATACCTTATTTTTATCTTTGACTTGTTTGATGGGTTGACTGTTCGCGCGAGCAAATTTGCCTTCCTGTGTGGTGCTCCACAGGGCATCAATATGGCAGATTCTCGGTCCACCCTAATGACAAATGAGACAGTGGGCAGGGATGTGAGTGTTATATGGATTATATCGTGCAATTGAGCATGAAAGAATACAAAAGAGGAAGACAGAACGAAAACGGTTGTTTGTGTTTCTCTGATGAGTGAACTAATGTTTTTTTCTTCATATTCCGCCCGGTGGTTCGCCGAGACGGATGTAAAACGATGGACGGATGTACTGGAGTCCGAGTTGCTTCTCTTTTTACTTGTCGTGTTCTTTTATACTGCGAGCGTAAATGGAGAGGGGGAAATCATGTGAATGAGTGCCGAAGTTTATACTTTTGCTCGCGTGCTTTCCGGTAATTCCTCAAGCCCTATTTTGATTTCTTGTTTTTTTCGCTTGTGTTGTAGTGTTTTCTTTCGGCTACAACTACGACACCCGCGCTTTTTGTTACAATCGACGAAGGAGAGTGTGCTCTTACCCATGGGGACGACAATGGAACACAATCAAAGACTTTCCTGCCCATGATTTAATGAATGTGTTTTTGTTTTGTTTTGTATTTGCCTACTTGTGGGGAATTGTTTGCCTTGTGGTTTCGTTTGCCTGTGCCTGTGCTTGTGCGCCTCGATCCGTTATCTTTGCTGCTCTTTTCTACATTGGTGTGCGTATGCCTCTTAAGGGGGCACCTTCTGGCGCACGGGTTCTCCCTCTCTCACAGTAGTAGGAATGCGGCAAGTCCTCACTGCCCTCGGCCTTGTTGTGGCCTCGCTGTTGCTGTGCATTGTACAGCCCGTACAAGCAAGCAGGCTGGGTAGCTGCGTCCATGAAGGCAGTGGTGGCTGCTGCTTCGGCTCAGCGCAGACAAACGTTACGGCTGTGTGTGGCCAAGTCGTGTCTCCTATCAGCGCTGCTGTGCTCAAGTGCCCCGCTGGCATTGTGTGTATAATGCCATCTGCCAGCAGCACGCAGCTGTGTGTTTGGTGTGAGGGGCGCATGGCAGCCTCCCCCGACAACGTTACCAGCTCCGATGACCAGCGCAAGCAATGCATCTCTGCGGCTGGACGTCAGCTGATGGAACGGGCCGGTTCTCAGCTGTTAACGCTGCGAATGTGCGTTCAGCGTCCGCCAGAAGATAGCGCCACCTGCAGTTTCCCATACATACCGAATGCGGGAGGAGGGTGCGTGTGCACAAGCGGCTATACCAAGCTGTACGATGGGTCTTGTGCCCCCACAGGGGATTACGAGGGTGTCACTGCTACTGCCGCTCTAGGCACCACAACGAAGTTTCGACCGCCCAACCTCAACAACAAGGGAGCTCCAGGGCCGCTTCTGACATCTGTGGTGGCGCAGAGGTATTCCACAGGAGCTGCTGTACAGTGTGCGGCTGGGAACGCTGTTGCGTGTAATCGTTTGGCCAACCTGTGTGTGCTAATGCTGTACGATACGGACTCGCTTCCATGTAAGCTGCACCTCTCACTCCTGTCTGACAACACGCCACCCCTACATTTGCCTCGGTTGAATTACGACAAGGCTCTTCTTGAGGATGCGTCTACAGTCTTGCAGGGATCCGGATCTGGGACAGTGGTGTCGTTTGCTGTGTCTGTGTACGACTTGTGGGGAAATTGGAAGGGGACTCGCAAGGGTCTGAGCGTGTTCAACCTGTGCGGTATTGCCGACGCAGATGCGGCGGGTATGTTGAAGCTTGGCTCCAACCGCGAGCTGCGGTGTCCCTTTGATCGGCGTCTGCTGCGCGACGGAGTGGGGGAGGAGGGGAGCTATGAGGACGTTGCGCCGACCGATTTCTTTGAACTCTTTCTGGTCGATCCGGCGAATGCGTCGCACCTCATTGAGGTTCCTGTGGTGATGGATTACGCAAGTGAAGATTTTCGTCCGTTGAACGTGCAGGACTCTGCGTTGAATCGCGCTGTTGCTTCTGGTGCTAATGCTAGTGAAGAAGTTGTGGACGGCTACCGACGGCGCTTTTACGTGCACGACAACTTGAGTGGCTGCGGGTCCAAGTCCAAACGGGGCATAAGGGGCACATGCTACGCAACGGTGCTACGTCGTGCGGTGTTCGTCTTCAGCATGGGGGGCTCATTCTTGCACCATCGCCTCAACGCGCCCGTTGTGGTCCTTCAGTACGCCTCTGGGGCGTGGGGTGCCAATGCGATAATGCATGGGCTCGGTGAGAAAGGTGAGGGTTTTGAGAGAGGCGTGTCGGTGCGTTTTATAACAGAAAGGCAGGAGGTCAATAGAGGATTGATGATCACGATGATCGTTCTCTGTCTCGGCTGCTTCCTGTCCGCGTGGATACGCACGTATGGGTGGATGCGGCGGCGACAGAACATGATGCTGACGCTTGGTGCAAGCATCCGTTTCTTTGTGTACTTCTGCAATCACGCTGGGAACATGTTTGCCCTTGCCGTCTCACTGGCGTCGTGGTACATATTCGCTGTGTACCGATCGGAGAATGAGAACTTGGTATCTGTCGTGGGAGATAGGTACGTGTACCTCGAGGGCATGCTGTGTACGGCCACCGTGACCAAAGGCATCGCTGTGCTCTACAAAATCGTGGAGCAGTGCAACGCGGATTACTTTTTGATTGACTGGGAGCGAAGCAAGGGGCAACTTTTGCGCGAGAATCGCATTCTTCCTGTCAGTATGTGGCGATCTACATTCGTCGCAAACGAATTGAATGAGCTTCAGATAATTCGCCAGTGGAGACCGCTGGTCAGCATGACGGTTGTATTGCTCTTTCTTGTCCCCTTGGGCTACCTGGATTGCGCTGACAGCATTCCTGGAGTGAACACATCCATGGAGGCTGGGGTTTACTCCGTCACGGTACTGCGGATAGCGGTGGGTACGTTCTTTTGGTTCGTTGTGTGTCTTGTGCTCCACGTTGTGGAGTTCCAGCTTTACTATCGCTTCATCCGTGCCCACCCACTGCAGGCGTTTGTGGATCTGTGCTCGGTATCAAACATCTCCATCATGATACTGCCAGAGCTGCAGTGGGGCTACTACATTCACGGCGAGTCGATTCACGCCCATGCTGACGTGAGCATGGAGGAGTTCCAGCAAAACTTGTACCTCGAGTCACAGGGTAACTTGCCGGTGCGCGGCCTCGGTGGGCAAAGCAAGTGCCAGACGTTCGAGGTGTTCATGGGCATCTACATGCGACAGTACCTTTACATGTGCTACGCGGAGATTGAGGCGGAACACCAGCGGTCGCGTGGCAGCGTTGCGCTTTCAGTGCGGCCGGGACGGCGATGGCATTTTCTGGAGTGTGTCTTCGGCATTTCCCGCAAGTTGCGTGTGTACGGCTCAGAGACCCTTGCAGTGAAGAAGCGTATTAACAGCTCGCTGCAGCAGAGTGTGCGCAGTGCGGAGGGAACGTTGTTGATGAAGTTCCCACTCCACCGCCTGTTTGACATGGCGCCAAACATCCTCTACATGAATGGGCCGCAATCTGGCGATAAGTCTGGCAAAGATCTCTTCTTTGTTGACAGCGTCACATCGTATGGCAATGCGTTCCTCTACGGTATTGATTTGGATTTGTTTGTCCTATACATGATGCTCTATGCGACGATTGACGCGGCGATGCATAATGTGTACGCCGCCTTTGTGATTACGTTTGCCTTGGAGATCGTTATTCGCTGGTACAGGATGAGCGAGGGTTTGGCGAACATCAGTGCCAAGACGCTCATAGACGATCGTTTTTTTCTATAGAGAAGCAGTGATACATATGGAGAGTGAGCGCGACAAGGGGGCGTCTGCAGATGGGAGAATTGGCCCAACGTCTGTCTGTCTGCACACGCATGCATATGGATCTATGTGAATGGAGGCATATCTGTCTGCTTCTTTCAGCTTTTGAGGAAGTGCCTTTTTGTTGTTGCCGCATTTTTGCGTGGGCAGGGGCAGAGGAAGCAGCAGCAGCAGCAGCAGCAACAGCAGTAGAAGAAGAAGGACACAATGTACCGTCGGTTGCAGCGTCGCTTTGTGCCTGCTAGCCCTTTATTTGCGCAGGCCTGCCCCCTTTCGACCGGCACGCCATCATCACCACCACCGCCATCATCGTCGCCGCCGAAGTTGTCGTCGGCAAGGTCGGCGAATGGGGGGCTAGGTGTGGTCCACTTCACGGCGCGCAACATTAACGAGGAGATGTCGTCCAAGGTCCCGTTGTTTCTTTACTTCCACGTCACGAACAATCCCGACGTCGCCGCGTACACCGAGCGGCTTACCGGGCAGGTTGACGCGGCGAACAGGCGGATGCAGAGCAGCGGCATTGCTGAGGCGTACCAGGAGTTCGGCAAGGACCGCGGCCTCGCCATCAAGCTCGGCCTCGTTGACTGCGTCAAGGAGGCTGCACTCACGCAGCAGTTCAGTGTCGATCCGCACATGTTCCCGATTGTGTACTTTGTCCGAAACAAGGTTTACGCCGACAAGATGGTCGGTATCGTGCCTGAGTCCCAGGTGAAGGAGGCGATTGATGCATTCATTGAGTACGCGATGCAGGAGAGTAAGAATGAGATGAGCGGCACCTCTGTTTTCCAGAAGGTGAAGCGTAGCGACGAGTACGATGAGAACGCCATGACGCTTGTGAACGCCGCCCACACGCGACTGAAGAACAAGGACATTCCCAAGGCCCGCGAGCTCTTCCAGAAGGCCTACGACATGGCGATGAGCGAGACGCAGGTGGCACGCGAGCGGCTCGGCATTACGAAGGAGCGGAATGTCACGAAGGAGATGTGGGACCGTCTGAAGCGCGAGGGCTGCTACAACGTTGCTCCGCAGGCTCTCTGTGGGCTGGCGATGTGCGCGATGGTGACGAAGGACACCGCGGAGGCGGAGCGCATTGTGCGGCGGATACGCGAGGAGTACCCCTTCGCGACACGGGAGCTGCGCGACGTGGCGGAAGCGGTGGTGCGCATCGAGCTTCTGATCATCACTGACTTTGATGTGGAAAAGGACAACTACGTCTCGCTGCTGACGTACGATGACCTGACCAACGACCCGGTCGCGCTGTATCGCCAACGTCTCAAGCTCGCGGTCGCGCACTTTGTGGAGAAGCGTCACCACAAGGGCATCGAGGAATGCCTGCGCCTCATCCGCGCGGAACCAAAGCTGCTACCGGCGCTGAAGGCTGGTGATGTTGTGCCGAAGGACCTCGTGCTTGGCCCGCACGCCAAGACGCCTGCGCGTCAGGTCATTCTCGGCATATTTGAGGCGCTTGGCAGCACCAACGAACACACCATCAAGGGGCGGGAGCTGCTGCAGACGTACCTGTAGTTATCGTTGGACAGCTATGACCCCCCCCCCCCCCCCCCCCC